ATTTTATAATTTTAAATTATTTAAATAACCAATCGTCCAATCATAAAATTCAATTTCTTTATTGAATCAAACAAGAACACATCTCCAATAAAAGAATTTTGGGGCATATAAGAGGGAGGAAACTAGCAGAGTTGCAAAGAAGCGTAAGTGGAATTAGAAACTAAATTGGGGCGAATTTTGAGTTTTAAGTTTTTTAGAGATATTAGTTAAAACTAAAAACATGTCAATTATTTAATATTTTTTTAATTTTATTAAGTTTATAGTAAATTATTATATATTTAAATTATATAAAAAAAATCATATATTTAATTTGACACATAAATATATAATATAATTTTAAATTTTAAATTTTAAATTAAGTTATTTTTACCATTTTATTTTTTATCTCTTTTCTGTTTTTTTTTCTCTTTCAAAATCTCTGATCTTTCTCTCCCATCTACCCTTTTATGCCGAGCTCCTCTTCTAATGGACTTCGTCAAACTCAAAGACTAGACTTGGCCTTATCTTTTTTTTGATTTTTCGTCCAATATCTAAGGTTTTGCCTCAATTAATCCGGATTTTACTTGCGTCGCGCACCTAAAAATGGTGGATGAGTCTCCCAACGAGAGCTACTGTGTACACAAAGACTCGAACTCGAGACCTTATTTAAACTGGAACAAACCGCTTACCACTTGATCCAACCCCTCGTTGGTAAACTTGACCCTATCTTGGTAAACAAAATCTCATAGTTATGGTTTTAAATTTTTTTTTAAAAAAAATTAATTTTAATTATTTGGTGAAATTAAATTTTAATGAGTAAAAATCTTGAATTTATAGTCAATCTTAATAAAAGAAATGAGAGAAATAAAGAAAAAAGATGCAAATTTAAAAGAGAAAACTTGAATTTGAATGAATCTAAAACAAGGAAAATATTACGAAAACACGAAGAATACAAAAAGAAGGCGAGGCGCCGATGGTGTTATTTTATTAATATATTGTCGAAGCGGCGTGTCTTTCTCCCGTGAAATCGTTCCCCTTATTCATATCATTATTCTTTCCGATTTTCAATATGTTAGCAGTGAGGTCTTATCACGTGCGGTCGTATTATTAAAATGGGTGGCTAAGGCTACCTAAGCAAGCCTCAGGCCTTGTCCAATTGTCTCACTTAGGTTTAGCTAGAGGCACGTAAGCGGATCACATATGGGAGAGAAATATTTTTCAACTAGGTTTGAATATTATTTTTTT